AAATTTCAGAATTTTCTTCTACTTTCATATCTGAGAGTCAGTGATCCAGCAAAGCATGCAATTGAAAAAATTCTGTTGCAGAGCATAGTGTTAAGGAATGTCCAATGCTTATAAAGTCTCATGATTTAAAATTGTATCTTTGGGAAACACATTAAAAGTTTTATAATGATTTTTGGATGAGTGATCTCAAAATTCATATTATCACTTTTGCATAGGTATTATTTTTTCTCTTTTATTGACTAAAATAAGCATGTAAGACATATTGAAAGATTTAATACCCTCAGAGTCAAGTAGAAAAATGCAAAAGTAGTCTAAACATCTATCTTGCCTAATTATTAACCTCATTCACTTTGTCTGTGTATTTTCCCATTTTCCTTTCCTGATATTTATTCAGTTTTCCATACACTTTAAATAAAATATAATTATATCATTTCTTCTGTTTCTTTTTCTCTCTCAAGCCCTTCACATGTCGTTTCTCTCCAAGTCCTCCTATGTTCCACATCACTCTCAGATTATAGCCTTTTTCTTTGATTTGATGTATGTAAGTGTATGTGATGCATGTATATACATATGTATGTATGTATGTATGTATGCATACAGAAATACATAAATAAATACAACTTGCCAAGCCAACTTTTGTTGTTTGTGTGTCAATGGTTTTAGGGTGGGCCACTTTGTAGGGATTCATCCCTAGGATAGGCTAACTTTCCCTAAAAGAGGCAGTGTCACAATAGACTTTCTGATTTTCTGCCTCTAGCAATCTTTCTGCCCCCTTTTCCACAATGTTCCCCGAGTCATAGATGCAGGAGCTATGCTGCAGATGTATCCTGTGGGCATGGGCTTCTCAGAATTTGTTGATCTTTGCATTAAGTTTTTGGTGATGGTCTCCATTTGTTGTATAAACAAGCTACTTTGGTGAGAGATGACCATTACACTTTTCTGTGAGTATAAGAATAAGATTTAGAGTGTTGTTTAGGAATTGTGCTGGTCTGTCAAGTGGCAGTGGCACATTTTCTTCTAAGATCTGTGACCTTACTAGTCTTGAGTAGTTGGCTAGGTTTTCTAGTACCAGGCACAATCTCCCTTTGTTGATGGGGGCTAATGTCTACTTAGACAGCTGTTGATTATCTCCAAGAGATGAGTGCCACTATTTCACCTTTATAAATATCTTGCCATGCTGGTCATTGTTGTGTATCACAGGTGTCATAGCTGAATAAGGTTTATAATTGCTTCCCTCACTCAGCAGTTTGCACAGTATTTTCTTATTCTATTGAAACTAGATGATTGGAAGAAGGCTTTCAAGTTAGATCCAGCTCTAATAATCCCAGTCCTGTGTCATTAAGGTACCATGTTTTTAGGAACAGGGGATTGCCTTGAACCTCTGAAAGGCACCCAAAGCCTATATTGATATTCTGTATTGTTATGGAAGTCATTTGACTATGTTGACTACCCCCTACCTACTATTTGAAAGAAGTTTCTTATGGCTGCTACTGTAGTTTGTATTTGTCTACGTTTTTTTCCGAAAAGCATTGTCAGTTTAAGTTGCATAACTTCCTATATATAATATTTGTATTCATATAAGTTTTGCGTTGTTTGTAAGTTTAGATAAAAATACAATAATATTATTCATTGATATTTTATCAAACAACCTTGGTATTACTTGTTCATCCTCCTAATTCTTCTTGTATCAACCTATTGCAACTCTTCCTGGTTATAGCTCCCATCCCCAGTTTTTCATTTTCCCATTCCTTTCATCTGTATCCTGCTCTTCCTGTCTCAAGCCATGCACATCTTTGTGTATTTGTACTTTACTGCTTTCAACAATTACTCCATGTGATATCCTCACACATGAAGATATGGAGCTTGAAACCAGAGATGAGAGAGAATATGTGTCATTTGTCTTTCTGGTTTGGGGTTAACTCAGTCACATAATATTTTCTAAGTACAGTCATTCATCTTTGAATTTCATGACAAGTGGGACCTCATAAAATTAAAAAACTACTATACAGCTAAGAAACAAATCAATCAACTGAAGAAAAAACTCACAGAATGGGAGAAAATCTTTGCTAGCCACACATTTAACAGAGGATTAACATCTAGCATATACAAAGAACTTTAAAAAAAGAATTGAGAAAACAGATTGCCCAATTAAAAATTGGCTGCATTTCTAAATAGAGAGGTCACAATAGAAGAAATAAAAATGGTTAAGAAATATCTCAAAGAGTTTTCATCATTCTTAGTGATTAGGGAAATGCAACTTAAAACACTGGAAATTTTTTCTCACCCCAATTAGAATGGCTAAGATCCACAAAACAACTGAAACAAATGTTGTGAGCTTGTGTGAAAAGTCATACCCTCACTGTGAGTAGGAATGCACTTTGGAAATCAACATGGAGGATCCAAATATAAATTAAAAATAGATCTAGGATAGGACCCAGCTATATCATGCCTTAGCAATGACCAAATGATTTGACAACTTACTCTACAGACACTTGCTTAGAAATGTTTATTATTTTATTCAAATATTGTTAAGCTTACTGAAATACTTTTTGCAGGTCAACTACCATTATAAAACCACTATTTCAATGATTCATTTAGACCCTTAATGCCATCTATAAAACATTAAGTTTTCCAATCCTCATGTTATAGAAAAGAAAATTAAGGCAAAATTAGCTTAAGCTATTTCTTAGTAAAATATAGGTAAAAAAGAGCAAGGATTTAAGTTGGGAAGACCCAGGAGAATCTTTTAGGTAGATTGTTATCCAAAAGAATTAGAAAATTGTTATTACCTTATGTAAATTTTAATAGCAACTTTTGGCTATTCTCAAATGTGTATGCATATAGTCTTATTTATGCTTGAGTTTTTACATGCAAATATGTTTATGTGCTTAATAAATAATTTATAATATAAATTATAGCACTCAGGTGGCTGAGATAGAAGAACTGTTAGTTCAAGGCCACCCTGGACCACATAATATAGCAATCTATTACAATACTGGTTTTTGTCAATTCATGAGAATAGAAGGTCTTTGCATTTTCTGGTGTCTTCTTGAACTTATTTGTTTATTACAGGAAATTCTGGAACACTTGGAACATTTGACTGATAAAATACTCTGAGGCATAGACTCAGACAAGAAATTTCTGAAAGGTTCCAATAGTACTGAAAATATTCTAAGTGTACAAATGGGATTACATTATGTTAAAAATCTTGTACAGCAGAGGAACTAGTGAAGAGACAGCATTCAGAATAGGAAGGGAGAAGATTGTTGCCAAGTATGCATCAGACATGAAATTAATATCTAGAATATATAAAGAATTACTATCTAGAATATATATTGAATGGCAAAATTAAGCATCAAATAAACAAACCATCCAATCAATAAATGAGTTAATGAAATGAAAGTTCTCACCAAAAAAAAAAAAAGAAAGAAAAGAAAAAGAAATGGTCAGTAAGTATCTAAAGGAGCTACTGGCTAAAAAAAAAAAATAATAAAAATAAAAAAATAAAAACTGCCATGGGGTATTACTATTCCTAATTAGAATAACTGACATTAAGAAAACAAAACAAATTCTGGTTAAAGATGCAGTGGTGGCAGAAAATTTACCTTGCTTGTGGGAGTGTAAACTAGTAAACCAACTATGAAAGTTAGTGTAGAGTTTCCCCAAGCAACTAAAAAAAAAATCTACCAAATGGCACAACTTTACCACTCAGGATATATAGTGGACAGACTGTAAGTCACCAACAAGATACCAGATGCACACAGAACCATGTTTACTGCTGTACTATTCACAATAGATAAGAAATAAAACCATCCTAGGTATCCATCAATAAATAGCCATGATATGCTATGGAAAATGTGACTCATAAGAATAGAATAGTTTTAGTTATAAATAAAAATGAAATAAAAATAATTGCAGGAAAGTGGACAGGTCTGAGATAATTATGCTAAGTGGAATAAACCAGATTAATAAATTTATGTTACATTTAAATGCACATCCACTAACCTTACTGAAACCCAAATATGTGTAGGTCATACAGTTTTGAGAGGGACCAAGAGAGAAGAGGGGGAGTTTTTAAGGGTGTGGGAGCAAAGGTAACAAAATACATGTAACAGAGAAGAATAAGGGACAACTATTTAGGAGAGAGAGTACCACTCCAGGAGAAACAGGAATATGGGAAAGGAACGTGTGGAAAGGATGGAGGATAAAAGATCCAAAGTATAATGTTATATGTGCATCCAAGTTTGAAAATACCATAATGAAACTCATCGATCCATATCATAACTTTAAAAAGGAATGAAGAAATTACTATATATAAGCAGAATGACCATTGGAAATAGTCATGTTGG